TCCTGGCCTGGCCGGTCTGCTGGGACAACAAGCACCACAATCCAGACAGCCTTTCCTGGTCACCTTCTTCAGGGCCAGCCCGAGTCCTGTGCGGGTCCCTCGGTCAGTGAGGCCACTGAAGAGGAGGCAGCCAAAGAAAACGAACGAGCTTCCACATCCCAACAAACTCCCGGGGATCTTTGGTGAGGGTCGGGTTGGGCCTCCCTCATCTGAGGAAAGTGGTGGCCTGCCAATGAATCTCATTGGTGTGCCCATCAGAGAGGGTGGGCTGTGCCTGTCAGGGAGGGAGGGTGGGCTGTGCCCGTCAGGGAGGGTGGGCTGTGCCTAGCAGGGAAGGTGGGCTGCAATCCAGAGTCTGCAGAGGAAAGCAGAAGCCGAGTGTGCCCAGAGCACAGCCACACCCTGTGGTGACAGGGAGCCACTGAGAATTGTGGGGCTGGGTCATGGCATGAGCAGGGATCCAGAAGTGGAACTTGTGATCCCAATGGTTCAGTTTCCTATTGTCCTTCATTTGTAAATGTGTCTGTCATGCCCCCCCTACGGGAGTACCATGGCAACTCCGTAGAGCAGGACCCCTGAGTAGAGCAGGACCCCTGAGTAGAGTAGGACCCTGAGGAGAGCAGGACCCTGAGGAGAGCAGGACCCCTGAGTAGACCTTGCACCTTTCTGTCCTGCAGATGGTCATGGCGCCCAAGGCAAAGATGTTTGCCGCAGGCACGAGCTCTACGTCAGCTTCCGGGACCTTGGCTGGCTGGTAATTTCTGCCTCTCCTCTCTGAATGCCACCTGCAGAGCCTGGGGTCTCCAGGGTGGAGGTGGAGCTACTGTGCCTTTAGTTGTGCATAAAAGCCGTGAAAACGGAGGCAACCTGAGCCCTCTGCCCAGTAAACTGTCAGCACAACAGGGAAACTGAGGCAGGGCCTTTGGGCTCTTCCTGCCACAGCTGCTGCAGGAGGCATGGGAGCAGCTGTGGAGGAGACAGCAGAGGAGGGTGAGGTGTGGAGGACAGAGCTGGGGTCCAGCCCTGCCTGCTGAGGGTCACTGAGGGGGATGAGGGTTCACAGGCTCAGGTCATCCTGTGACAGGTGCTATGATGATGGTCAATGGAAGGACACTGATGTAACTCACCTTTCCCACCCACAGGACTCCGTCATTGCCCCCAAAGGCTACTCAGCCTATTACTGTGCTGGAGAGTGCAACTACCCATTTACTTCCTGCATGAACTCTACCAATCATGCCACCTTGCAGGCCCTGGTCAGTATCACAGTGGCCTTCTTGGGACCTGAGGGGCTGGACAGGCATGGGGGTGGAAAGAACAAGGGCAAAAGGGAACTTGATCCTGCAGACTTCGCCATGAAGTTTGGTTCCTGCCTCTCAGTAAATGCTGTTGCTCACATGGGTGTCTCTGGACAGACACCTGAGCATACAACGTGCACCGCACGTTCATAGGTGGGAACCTGTGGACTTGTGTGGGTCCCGGACTAATGTAATACAGCCTCTGGAGTCAGACTGAAGCGTGCACACAACAGATGGGTGCCCACTAGGGGCCGGCATGACCCATGTGCCCTGTGCATCCGGGTAGATCTGGCCTCCCGGATGTTTATGTGCTTGTGCATCCTGCCTGGCTGGGGGACTCATGAACCCTCAGCTTTGGGACCTTGGCTCTTCCCGGGCCTGCTCCCCACTTCTCTCCTGGCTGTCTGCTCTCACAGGTTATAGTACTAGTGAGCAGCAGTCTGGACCACTCAGTGATGGAAGAAGTTGCCAGCAGGAAGGCAGTTGCAATTGCCCACTGCCATATATCTGTGCTTTGTAGAGCCTGGTGTTGAGACTTCCTTTCAGAACATTTTGTCTGGAATCCTAGCACCCAGTGACCTTGGCCTTGTGTTTACCTAATAGACAGTTGTGCCAAATGATGCTTTAGAGCAGTGAGTCTCAACCTGTGGGCCACAATCCCTTTGAAGTTGAATATCAGATATTTACAATCCATAACAGCAACAAAATTACAATGTAATGTAGCAACAAAATAACTTTATGGTTGGTGGTCACCACAACATGAGGAACTGTATTAAAGGGTCGCAGCTTTAGGAAGGTTGAGAACCACTGCTCTAGAGTGAACATCAAGACTTGAACAAGTTGCTTTGAGCCATTATTAAGTGTCTTTTCACAAAGGGCACTGGTGTTTGCTGGATGCCTGGAGCCACTGTCCTGGGAGATGCTCAGCCTGATGGGGGAATGTGCATGCTTTAGAGGGGGTAGAAGGATCGGCACCTGTTTCAAGCTCAGTGACACCGTCAGACAGGCATAGGGACTCCATGCAGCCTGTTTATCACCTCCAAAGACCGCTTTGTCTCGGAAATTGAGGTTAAGCTACATGAAGGGGAGAGCCCTTGAACTTATACATTGGTTCCATAAACGTTTCTAGTTCAGTCTGCAAAAAGAGACTGCCCCTTCCACAGCTTACACCTACCTGGTGTAAGGGACAGAGCAATTCGGGGCAGTGAGGCACCAGAGGGTGCCCCATGGCACCCAGTGCTGGGGACCAGTAAGCTTGAGTCACAGCAGAAGTGGATGTGACAGTGGACCAAGGGGCCGAGAGCGCCAAAGGGCTTCTGTATCAGTCCCTCCAAGCCAGGTGCCTGGGCTGTCTTGAGGGCAGTGGGCAGGGCACATGTGCAAGGAGGAACCCACCCTAGCTGCAGGTGGAGAAGGACCTTGGGCCGCTCAAAGGGGCTGAGATCTTCTGGAAGGGTAGTGGGTGGGAACAGGGACCATCAGGCTCATGTCCCTATCTGCCTGCCCTCCCTACCAGGTGCACCTGATGAAGCCAGACATCGTCCCCAAGGTGTGCTGCGTGCCCACCGAGCTGAGTGCCATTTCTGTGCTCTACTATGACAAAAGCAACAACGTCATCCTGCGCAAGCACCGCAACATGGTGGTCCAGGCCTGCGGCTGCCACTGAGTTAGCAGCCTGCTGCCATTGGCCCATTATCTGGTCAGCCCCTCTGACCGGGAAACGAAGAGACCCTGTCAGATCCAAGGCCAAGGTGGAAAGGTCGGGTTTCCAACTCTTATGTCCATGTTCTGCCTTTGTCACAGGCTTGGCCCTCTCCTGGCCCCTCTGTTCCCTTCCTCTGCCCAAGGGTGGGAAGATGGTCCTGGTTACAACCCTGGTGACCTATGTCCCCAAGCAGCAGCCCATCTCTGCCCCTCCCCCAGGGGCATCTATTAAAAGTCCTTTGGGATTGGCACAGAAGTCTAATTTACCCACCTATTCGTGATGACTACTGGGCCAGCCTGACTTGAATCTGGAGCACTAGATGGACCTCAGGCTCTTTAGTATCCACCAGATACTTAGGTGTGTGCAGACACGACCAACTCCCTCCATTATTCCATAGCCTGTCCCTTGGAGGTATAAAACGAGATTTCTGGAGAAGCGTTTTAAAAAAAACACGGAAAAGCCAGGGATAGTGATGCACACTCTTAGTACTTGGAAGACAGGCAGAATTACCATGAGTTCAAGGCCAGCCTAAGATACATATCAAGATCTTTCAGAAGAACAAAGAAAACAACCAAACAAAACCCTTGTGTATTTATGGATCTCAGTCACTAAACCTCTGGCCATGGACAGGCGAGGCCAGCTGATGAACAATCTGTTGTGGATTTGACATCTGGACGCAGCCATTGCCATTCAGGAAACGCCAGCAGTTTCCGGATCCACAGTCCCCACTTCTGCCTTGATAGACATCACAGGCAGGCGTACAACTCGGCATTAGCCAGAAACACAAAGCTGTGTCCTGTCTTGGTGCTGGAGCAAAGGTATTGTGGTTAAGAGGACCCCAGGGCAGAAGCCAAGCAGCCCCAAGGAAAGAATGCATTACCCTTCAGTTACTCATGGCCCACGCAGCAGGGAAAGAGTCGCAGGATGAGGAATGCTGCTGAGCATTCCTGCCCAGGCTCCAGAGCCTCGCTTGACTCCTGCTGGCAGAGGACCATGACTGTGTCTCCTATCGAGGACTTCAGGCCCTGCTACCCTCCTGGAGCTGTCTTCCCTGAAAACCCAGCACCCTGCGGATTGGTAGTCTACTGCCACTAGCAAAGGCAAGACAAGCTCCGCCCTACCTCTACTGTACCAATCGGATGATCTTTGGCAGAGGTTTGGTTTATCTGTGCAGGGCTTTTGACAGCTAATCTTAGTTGTCAACTTGACACCCGGGAAGAGACACCCTCCAATGAGGAATTGTCCCCATCAGACTGACACATGGGCACACCTGTGGGGCATTTTCTTGATGGAGGAAAGCCCAAACCAATGCGGACAGTACCGTCCCTAAGCAGGTTGTATAAGAAAACAGTGTTCCTCCATGTTTCTGTTTCAGTTCCTGCCCTGACTTCCTTGGATGATGAACTATGATGTAGAAATATAAGACAAACAAGCAAAATCTTTCCTCATGCTGCTTCTGGTCATGGTGCTTTGTCACAGCAACAGAAACCAAACCAGGACAGGTTCCAGTATGTCTCTGTCCTCAAGTCTTCAGGTCACTGTCACAGGAACTCATCATCTCTTGGCGCTCTCTGCTAAGTTCTTTACAGATGGCCTGTCCTGGTTCTAGAACAAGTCCTAAGAACTGTGGTCCCTCACTTCAATGCCTGTCCTAAGACTGGTTCCTGCTCACTAAGGCTGACCTCTGAATAAAGAATGTAGCAGGGTCAATCTACCTGGGCCAAGTCTAGATGCTCCTGTGCAGGTATATTTTAGGTAGACTACTACTGAATTCAGTGGAGTAAGGCAGAGGAGGTAAGCTGATCACTGAATCAGGTTAGAGCCCTGACAGGAAAAAGATTAGTCATCGAGGAATTCTGCACTCAGGCCACCCAAAGACTTGACGTTTCAGCTCTTCTCACTCGTCTCCAGTCTGCTGCTTGTTGTGCACACATGGCCTGCTACTCCTCATAAACACCAGCCAATTCCCTAGTCAGTACACATGTGTACATACATACATACACACATACATGGATATGCATGCACACACACCCGCACACACCCTGAGCACACACAAAATACACGGTCAGTCACCAACTACTTGTTTCCACTGTTGCAATAAGAAGCCACAGGCAGTGTTGGAACATAAATGGCTATGGCTGTCTCAACAAAACCTTCTTCACAGAAACAAGCAGTGGGTTGCCTGAAGCCCAGGTCATGTGCCAACCTCCTGTCTCCTGGCACAGTGGGCTCTTTGAGTGATAGTATCATTTTAAAAACCTGAGAAAACAGTGTGAATGTTAAGACACTGGAGCCGCTGAGGCCGACACCAGGCAGGCAGCTCTGATTCCTGCTGCCCTGACATGATCTGACAAGGACATCTGGCATCAAGACACATGACCGGCCTGGAAGGGAACGAGCCATGGGAAGGTATCACACCTTCACAGACTTGCCGTCCCACCCAGGGGACAGTTTAGCCATGGACATGGTCTCTTAACAGATAACTCCCAGGAACTTGCTGGAGGCAACAGTACAAAAAAAACAGTTTATTTCAGCAACGCCACCCAGTGGCTAGAGCCGGCCCAGGACAGACGGCAGCCCACTGCCTATGCTGGCCCAGCCGCGTCCAAAGAAAGAGCCTGGGCACTGCAGAGGAGCTGCTGCTAAGGAAGGTCACCCCAACGGGCTTGGGCCAAACACAACTGCTTCACAGGACCCAGTCAGCACCAGGGCCCGAGGCCAGAGCTCTGTCCTTGTCTTCCAGAGGTGGGAGCCGAGCGAAGCGTCACATGTACTCTCCACAGTCAGCGATGATCACCTTCTGCTTTGGCTTCCCATCCTTGCTGCCCTGAGCCTTGGTGGGCAGAACAGAGAAATCAGGAGAAGCACAGGGCTGAGAGCTGCTCAGGGATCACCCTCTCCTGAACAGGGACCTCTTCCAAATGCCCCCTTCCACAGCCACAGAGAACCCCCTCCAGCTCGCCCACTGGGAAGCCCATTCCAGGTCCAGGTAGGAAGCCATTTCCAACTACCTACCTCAATCTGCCGTAAGACATCCAGGCCTTCAGTGATCTCCCCAAACACCACATGTTTGCCATCCAGCCAATCTGTCTTATCACAGGTCAGGAAGAACTGGGAGCCATTGGTGTTTGGGCCAGAATTGGCCATGGAGAGAAGGCCTGGGAGAAAATAAGACTCCTCAGTTCCCTCCAGTTTCCAGCCCATGGTGCATACCAGTGCTGACTGTTGACAGGGCTTCTGCATGCTGGCTCAGGCTCCAGGACAGGGACCTGAACCCATGACACATGACTATGCTGACTGTTGACAGTGCTTCTGTATGCTGGCTCAGACTCCAGGACAGGGACCCTGAGATGTAGCACCTCATCTTTCCTCACCACAGAAAAGGACAAGTGGGCTGTTTCGTTTTGTTCATGTTCTTTCCATTTGTAACAATAACTTGCTGTTTACTGTGTAACCAGGCCCATTCATTTCAATGGAATAGTACGGGCTGGGGAGACTGTTCTGCAGAGAAAAGTGCTTGCTGTAGAAGCCAGACAATCTGAAGTTCATCCCCAGAAGCTACAGTAAAAGGGACGGTCTCCTGAAGGCTGTCCTCTGGTCTCCACACACCAACTGCAGTCCATGCACTGGCACTCAAACACATGCGCAGCACACACAAACCCACACAAGTGATAAGTGTGTACATGTATTGTAAAGGATCCGGTGCTGTGACAACTAAGATGCAGGGACAACTGTGCTGGGAAGAGAGGTTAAGGCAGTCACGTTGGGGAGGAGGGAAGCTGGGCCAGGACAGGAGCTGGAGACAGGCAACAGCTATGCTGGCAGGGAGATGAATCCAAGACGAGCCCCAATTCTTTTTTCGAGACAGGATTTCTCAGTAGCCTGTTCTGGAACTCAGTCTGTAGACCAGGCTGGCCTTGAACTCACAGATCTGCCTGCCTCTGCTTCCCAATACTGAGATTAAAGGCGTGCGCCATCATTTCTTTCTTTCTTTCTTTCTTTCTTTCTTTCTTTCTTTCTTTCTTTCTTTCTTTCTTTCTTTCTTTCTTTCTTTTTTTTTTTAATTTTAATTGTGTTTATGTGCCTACATTCTTGTCTATGGCCCACATGTGTGTCTGGTGCCAGAGGAGGCCATAAGAGACTCCCCTGAGACTGGACTTACAGTTTTGAGTCACCTTGTGGGTGCTGGGAATCAAACCTGGGTCCTCTGGAAAAGCAGCCAGTGATCCTAACCACTGAGCCATCTCTCCAGCCCCTGAGCCCTAATTCTTGACAAGTAGACAGTGTATCATCTACTAAAACAGGGGGACATGAAGGGAGTTGGGGAAAAAGCTATTCTAATCTGTGAAGTCTGAGGGTCCTCTCCAAGAGCATCCAGTGCTCTTAACCACTGAACCATCTATCTCTCTAGTCCCTTAAGAACTAAGTCTGTTATATTTACATAAACTCTAAGTCTTAAGGGCTTTCCCCAAAATGCAATCTCCTAGGGAGCTGGATGTGGCAGTACATGCCTATAAACCTAGCACTCAGGAGGCAGAGTACTCAGGAGGATCCAGAGTTCGGTGCTAGGTTGAGCTACACACTAAGACCCTGTCTCAAAAAACAAAAACCAAGCCAGGTATAGTGGTACATGTCTTTAATCCCAGGACTTGGGAGCCTGGAGCAGGTGGATCTCTGATTTCCAGGCTAATCTGGTCTATATGTCAAGTTCCAGGTCAGCCAGGGGTACATAGTGTGAGACCGAGTCTCAAAAACAAAATCAAGATCAAACCAAGACAAAGAAACAACCCAGGAATTATAACTACAATATAAATCAATGCAATCTCATTCATCATTTCACAAAATAGAGTCAGCACCAGCAACACTGTGGTGTTCGAATCACCAGCAGATACATCTCTCTATTTCTAACTGCTGCATCTGAGTGTGGCACACAGCGGAATAACTCTTGTGTCCTCTGGTGTAACTGCAGCTATTACAACATTGTTACTTTTTAAGATAAGGTAGGCAGAAGAACTTACTGTCCTCGTACTTCAGTCTAGCACAAACTTGCAGGAAGGAAACAAAGGCACAGTGAACAGGTTTCCATGGAGAAATCAACTGATCTCTGAGCCACCGCCATGCTTAGGAATCAAGGCAGGAAACAGCAAGTCAAAAATGTAGCATAGTGGGCAAAGCAATTGGAAGATGGAGGA